GCAATACTCCAAGTGCGGCCGCACCAGAGTTTTGTACAGCTGCAACATGACCTCATGGCTCCGAAACTCAATCCCTCTACCAATAAAACCTAACATACTGTACGCCTTCTTAACAACGCTATCGACCTGGGTGGCAACTTTCAGTGATCTATGCACATGGACACCGAGATCTTTCTGCGCATCCACACTACCAAGAATCTTACCATTAGCCCAGTACTCTGTATTCCTGTTACTCCTTCCAAAGTGAATCACCTCACACTTTTCCGCTTTAAACTCCATTTGCCACCTCTCAGCCCAGCTCTGCAGCTTATCTATGTCCCTATGTCCCTCTGTAACCTACTGCAGCTTATCTATGTCCCTCTGTAACAACAGTCACTGATCTACTCTCCTTGATCATCTTCATCATCGCCTAGAAAAATTCAATCAAGTTAGTAAGACATGACCTACCCTGCACAAAGCCATGCTAACTGTGCCTAATTAGACCATGCTTTTCCAAATGTGCGTAAATTCTATCCCGAAGAACTCTCTCCAATAGCTTCCCAACGACTGATGTGAGACTCACCGGTCTACAGTTTCCTGGATTATCCTTACTTCCCTTCTTGAACAGAGGAACATTAACTTCTCGCCATTCCTCCGGGACCTCTCCAGTGGCTAGCGAGGATACAAAGATCTTTGCCAAGGGCCCAGCAATCTCCTCTCTTGCATCTCAATAATCTCGGGTAGATACCATCAGGCCCTGGGGACTTATCCACCTTAATGCTCTTCAAGAGACCCAACACCATTTCTTTCTGGATTTCAAAATCCCCTAGCATATTAGCATGCTCCACACAAATCTCACGATCCGCCTTGTCCTTTTCTTGGGTGAATAATAATTTCAGGAAAACAATGTGTAAAATTCACTCTGGTCTGACTAATACTTTATTACTAGGGCTCAGGTTGCAGTGGTACCATTGCTAAAAGAGTGAGGTGCCATGAGTGAGAAGTATTCAAACTAGATTTATACCTGACAAAATAGGAATGAGTTACTCTAAAACTCTGCTATTGTGCTTAAATTCAATAACATTTGAAACATTAATTCTATGCACATGTAATATGCTGAAATAATAATTTACCTAATTGACAAAAATAAGTTTCATTTCTTGAAGTTTGAATGTTCAATAATTTGACTTTTGTTTATGTTCACTTTGTTTTATTTTACAGAGAAACTTGCCGATCTCCTGTCAGTCCAGAGTTTTGCCCTCTCGTACAGTCAATTATAAGCCCGTCCAGAACATTACTAATGGAAGGACACGCCCAGCTCAAGACTGGTCTCCAAACCCAAGACCGACATTTCTTCCTGTTCAATGACGTTTTCGTAATTGCAAAATCAAAGTAAGAAAAGAGGGGATTTGTTCTTTGAAAATGTTTCAAGACTGCAAGCTTTTGGGTTTGGAAATGCAGACCCTATTCGGGTTGCTTCAAAAAAATGTACAAGAACACAGGAGGTTAATAAATCTCAAGTGATTCCTATTTCCTATAAAGTGAAAGTAGCTAGTGCCACACTATACCATTCAAATGAGGAAGATCTGAGTGCCCAAGTAACCAATCACACTGAGTCAGTACCACAACTGGCTTCTAGCTAAGGAGAGGTAAAACAACCCAAGCTTCTTGCTCCAGATTACTATCATTTGAACCCCACTGGAAAATGCAGTTATGTTGATTTGGGTGAGCACAAGATTGTGATCAGCAATAATTCCCTAATTGGTTGAACAAACTTATCATTTAGGTTGGAGTTGATATTGAGCATTCCCAAAGCAAATCCCTCCCAACTGTGTACAACTACTGCCAATTCTGATATGTTTGTCCTGCCAATAGAACAGGAAATACCCCAGGGAGGTGATGTTTGGGACATATCTATAGGTATTTATACAATGAGTATAAATATGTCAGGCTATTACTTGACTAGTCTGTGGGATAGCTCACCAAATTTTTGGCACAAGACCCCAGATGTTTGTAAGGATGGCTTTCTAGGGTTGGGCTCACCAATGTCATTCTAGTACCCAGCTCAATGTCTGGTGGTTGTCCAGTTTTATTCTTTATTTCTAGTGTAAAAGTTTTAAAGTTCAAAATGTTTGGTACAATTGATTGGCTCGCTTAGTCATTTCAGAGGACAGTTGAGTCAGTCATAAAACTGTAGGTCTGGGATCACCATGCAGGGCTTTGAATTATGAGTCCAGTGTGTCACCACTATCCTATTCGGGGCTTAGTTAGCTCAATTGGTTGGATGGCTGAGTCACGATGCCAATAACATGAGTTCAGTTCCCACACTGGCTAAGGTTATCATGAAGGATTCTTTCTCTCTCAACTTTTCTTCCCATGTCTGAGGCATAGTGATTTTCAGATTGGTGGTGGTTTAATCATTGCTCTCTGTCGCTGTCTCGCCCTGATGAGAGAACTGCTCTACGGTCCACTAGGACTATGGTGACTTCACCTTTACTATACCACTACAGCACTGCCTACTCTTGACACCTTTTACTGCATTTGATTTCTTCTGCTCAAAATTCATGATTGGATGAGCACAAGTTTAGTTCATGTAAATGTTGGGAATAACGAAAACTGTCTTAGGACCCTGCCAAAATATCCATTTCCTAGACACTGAACCATTTGTCACAGGCCCAAATGGTGTTAATATTTGACCTTAAGCTTCTGACTAAGATCGCCTACTTGCACCTCTGTAATATTGATTGTCTCCAGTACAACCTCATCTGGTCTGTTCAAACTCTCATTCATTTGTCCTCATGTATTTCTTATAGTACTGTATTTGTTCTGCCTCTTTTGGACAGACCAGGCCTGGGCAGTTTTCCACATTGTCAATTGGACACCAATTTATAGCTTTACTGGGACAGCTTGCCTGTTAATTCCGGAGCACAAACCTATAGCACCACAATCGGGATGGTATTCACCTCCTTAGACTTTTTGTATCCAGTGAGTTCAGCTTAATCATGTAATGTGATTTAATTAAGTTGGCCTGTGATAGCGAGCTCTGTTGGATGATGAGATGCATCATTCACAGCTACTTCTGATTGAAGACAGTTGAAAAGGAAGTTAACATAATCATCCAACCTAATATTTCCTTTCTTAGTTTAATACCCCTTCTGTGATGCACCTTGGGATAATTTACTGCATTGAAAGATGCTGTGTAAATGCAACTTGTTCTTGTTGTGAACGAAACATTTAAATTGTGCATATCAGTATTCCCAAGCAAAGGGACATCAGATGATCTGTTCTGGTGGTGCTTGGTTAAGCAAGGAATGAATTCTGAGAAAACTATTGTTCAATAGCAACAAAGGATGCAGGAACCACTCATCTGATGAGTTCGTATCTATGGAGAGAAAGAGTGCATTAATGTTTCTGATGCAAACGTTCATTAGAACTGGGGAAAAAAATTAAGATGAATAGCGTTTTAAAAGCAAGTGGTAGAATGACTTAGTCTCTCTCACTCTCTCACACACAGACACACGTGCACAGAAAGAGAGACAGACACATGTGCACAGAGAGAGAGACACCACTCAATGTAAAGTACTAAAAGGACAGCTAAAGTGATAGCATGAATTAATTTGAGGTAGTATGACAAAACAAGGGTAAAATTTCTGAAGGACACGAAGCATGTGATAAGCTGAAGCAATGGAGAATAAAACCAGTTTGGAATGGAAACAAGAGCTGGAAAACCAGTCGAGAGAAATGGAGGAGGCCTAAGTAAGACTGCTACTAAATACATGTAGGCAACGTTGCATCAAATCATACCAGATATGCTACCAAATGTAATTAAACTGATCACAATATTTTTAAGGTTGATTTTGTAAATTATTGAATTTGCTATACATCACTTCAAAGTTGCAAAAGTTTAGTCAAGAAAGTCATGACAGAATACTAAAGAAAAATTATGATGTTGGTTTACATAAGAAATTAAATGTAGTGGCACAATCACAACCGTATTGCTTTATTTGCTCCCCAATTCCTTTCCTCAACTCATGAAACTGAGTAATCATTTTTAAAGAGAGGCATGACTATTCTGACGATGAGCCTTTGGACTTGAAATGTTAACTGAGCCTCTTCACAAGTGCTGCCAGACCTGCTGAGTTTTTCCAGCATTTTCTATTTTCATATCAGATTTCCAGCCTCTGATTTATTTTGTTTTATTATATTTTTATGGTTGCTGGGAGGATGAAATAGAAACAGAAAATGCCAGAATCACTCAGCAAATCTGGCAGCAGTTGTAGAGAGAGGCATAGAGTTAACATTTTGTGTCAATAACTTTTGATTTAGAAATCTAGAAAGTGTTGATTTTTGACTGACTTAACCTTGTTGGACTATGATCCTGTTTGTGGTAGCAACTCATTTTGTTATCATACTTGAGTGACAGCCCTTAAATGGCCAAACACTGGATGCCAACTCACCTTTCAACAACTGGGTCAACAGAACGTAGTCCTGACATTCCCTTCTCTTCCAGTGGGATTGTTGAATCAATCCCGATACCTTAGCCTTTGGTACTGATTCCAACATTGCCCTGACAAATAGCAGCCAGCTTAACACAAAATTGAGATCAAACCATCAGTGTTAAACAAAGTGTTTCTAGCGATTTCACAAAAGCAATTGGGAACATAAAAGGAAACTATTATGGAAAGGACATAATTGGCACATTTACCTGAAATGTGTTAAAATGTATCTTTCTTTAAGTAGTAATATTTCTTGAGTTAATAATAAACATCAAGAACTGGAAATCTGAAACAAAAACAGAAATAGTTGGAGAAACATTAGTAGGTCTAGCAGAATGTTTTGAGAGAAAAACGGTTAACATTTTGAGTTCAGTGATCCTTCATCAGATCCAAGCGCTATTTTAAGCATTTTAGGTAAGACCGTAAGACATAGGCGCAGAATTAGATCAGTTGGCCCATTGAGTCTGCTCCATAATTTGATCATGGCTGATATGTTTGTCAACCCCATTCTCCTGCCTTCTCCCTGTAACCCTTGATCTCACTAATCAAGAATATGTATATCATTGTCTAAAATAGGCTCAATGATTTGACATCCACAGCCTTCTGCAGCAAACAGTCGCACAGATTAACCACTCTGTCCCTAAAGAAACTCCTACTTATCTCCGTTCTAAAGGATCATCCCTTCACTCTGAGACTGTGCCCTCAGGTCCTAGTCTCTCCTACTAGTGGAAGCATCTTTTGCATTTCCACACTGTCTAGGCATCTCAGTGTTCTGTAAGTTTCAAGATTCTGGTCCCAGCACGATTCAAGTGGAGCCCATCCCATCAGGCAACTCCCTTCTTCCGCAGTACAGTGCCAATGTCCCAAGAATTCATACCCATTTCTCCCACACCAGTCTTCGAA